GGGCAGCCCCAGGCAGTGGGTGGCAGTTAGAGCAGCCCCGGGGTGCAGGGGGAGGGGGGTGCAGCCCTGGGCCATGGGGTGTGAGCAGGAGGGGATGGGGTAGCCCCCTAGGTGTGGTGTGAGTGAGCAATGGGGAGGGTCACTGGGACAGTCCCAGGCATTGGGGGGCAGGGGTTGCAGAGCAGCCGCATGTGTGTCAGGGCGGACTTCAGTCATGGGCATGAGCAGGAGGGGACAGGGGCAGCCCCCCATGTGGGGTGTGAGAGTGGGGGGTCATTGGGGCAGCCCCATATATGGGGTGTGGGGGGGGAAGTCAGAACACCCCCATGCGTGGGGAGTGAGTGGGGGCCAGGGATCAAAGCAGTCTTGTATAGGAGGTGTGAGAGGGGCAGGATCAGAGCAGCCCCCATGTGTGGGCTGTGAGTGGGGGGGGTTGGGGCAGCCCCCTTATGGGCTGTGTGTGTGGGTTGGAGCAGTCCTGGTGGAGGGGGAGGTAAGAGCAGCCCCTGCATGGGGTGTGAGTGTGAGAGGAGGGATTAGGGCACGGGGACTGAGGGAGCCTTGGGGGGTGAGGGGGGGAAAATCGGACAGTTGTGTATATGGGGTGTAAGTATGGGAGGGGGAAATCGGGGCAGCCCCTGCATTGGGAGGTGGGGGGGAAGTCGGAGCAGGCCCCATGCATGAGGGTTGTGTGAAGGGATCAGGGCAGTCCTTGACGGTGGGTGTGAGTGGGAGGGTTTAGGGCAGTCCTGTGTGAAGTGGAGGGATCAGGGAGGCCCTGTGCCTGGGGTGTGGAGGGAGTCCACAAGCAGCCCCAGGGCCTGGAGGGTCTGCTCCCTGCCCCTGGGTGTGTGCCACCCCCCTCTCCCCCCACATGCCTCCTGCTTGCTCTGGAGTTGCCAGGCCAAACACTCCTTGCTCTGTTCCCTGCAGGCCCGCCCAGCTGCAAATCCAGGGGCAGGGGGTGGGATGGGGGCGCTGTTCTTTCTCCTTCCCTCCCTCCATTCCCACTCGGGGCACATTCCAGTCATTCCTCCACAGCCCCTGCTCTTTCAGCCCCCCTCTCACCCCTCCCCAGGCCGGCAGGAAGCTCCCCACGCAGTGTGGGGGACAGTGGCTAGTCATTTCCTGCCCCTTTGCCCAGTCAGCTGCTGGGGAAAGGCTGCTGGTGACCTGTGCCTGACCTGCCTGAGCTTGGTAGGGCTCAGCTGGCTCTGGGGCTGAGGTGTCTGCCCATGGGACAAGGGATAGGAGCAAAAAAGGCCCAGTGAAAGGATAGCTGGTCTGATCTGGCTCCATACAAGGGGTGGTGGGGCCAGTGGGCTCTTCCCCAGCATTGGGGTGGGAGGTACCATGTCTCTGTGAAGGAAACCCCTGTGGTCCTTTTTTTTGCTGCTTCAGCTCTGAGCCCTCCCAGGCTGGATTTTGGCAGCATGATGCGATGCTTTTGGAGCCCAAAAAATCCTTCCCCACAGAGGAGGACTTCGCGAGTCTGGTTTTTTCTCCTTCCCCTTGTGCTCTGGGTAAAGCAATCAAACCGTCCCCTTTTGTGGAACATGGAGGCTGAGTGTGCTTTGTGTATGGCTTTGCTCCCTCCCACTACATTAGTCTGAAGCTGAGTAGAAGGCAGAGTAGATGTGCACCTTATAGGCTACCCAAAGTAGATATAGATAACAGAAGCTTTTGTGAGCTGAAGCTCACTTCATGACAAAATGAGCATCAGCTCACAAAGAAGCTTGTGCTGTCTATATCTACTTCAGTTAGTCTATAAGGTGCACATCTGCTCTGCCTTCTACTTGATTTAGATTAACACGGTGAATTATGTGTCTTAACCTTCTGCAGGCCAGGAAGGAGCTCTAGTGCAGGTTTCCCATCAGACTTGCCCACTTCTGAATATTCACAGTAATTCAGAGGAAATGTCATGGTGCCTCTGTACTGGTGTAGTGGGAGATGTGGCCAGGTCATGAACCTTCCTTCCCCGTCTCTCAAGTCTCTGATTGTTTCAGCCAAAACACTGCAAAACCTAGGCTTGGGCGGGGGGGACAACAGGGACAGTTTAAATCCTGAGAATTTAGGTAGGGAGCATCGGGAAAACTGAACATGTTTTATCTGGTTTAAAGCTGGACAGATACCTGCGGGAAATAGCTTTGAAGCCACAGCAGCGGAACCAGCTGCAGTGATCCTTAATTTGATGCAGATAATTAAAATTAATTCCTTCCTCTCATCCAAGCTAAATACAGCGAGTTGTGCTGAAAGAAAATCAGCCGTTGTTCAGGTCAGAATGCTGGAGGCAGATCATCAGTTACGTAGCAAAAAAAGCTTCTCGGTTGTGTAAGCACTCCCTTCCTCGTACTAGAGCGAAACCCTTTGGAACTGGTCTGTACGCCCGATGACAATCACTTTCTAGTAATTGTTGCCTTTTTAATGGCCTGCCTCTGATGTTCGTTAATTTAAACCAAATTAAAATCACAGTAATAGTGACAGTGAGAAGTTTCAAGCTCTGCAATGAGGTTTTCTTAAAATTCCCCTTAGTCTATTTTGGAAACGTGAGCGCCCAATGGAATTGCACATTTTTTTTTGTTTACAACTAGTGCATTGTAATTTATTCATGGTTTTACTGAAAATGGGGGATCAGGAGTGCATGCATGCAGTTAGATAGTGGTGAGTCCATTAATAGGTTTGATAAATGTTGTATTTGGCATTTATGTTGTGCTTGATACAGTAAAAACAGCAGGAGCTCTGATAAGGATGGATTATAATTTTCAAACAGGGAGCTTTTTTCTCAATTGTTTTCTCAGCAGTGGCATCTAAAGGGACTGTGTTTTGTCTCTTGTTAATAAGTCGTTCTGATGCTGATAAAGATGCATGCAAGCTAAGAATGCTTCTTTGTTTCAATGACATGACCGTCTAGGTTAGCTTTTAATTTTAAAAGCCTTCATTGGCCTGGCTTGACTTCTTCTCTTTGGTAATATCTTATTAAAACCTGCTCTTCCATTCTACCTTCTCAAATTATACAAATATAAAATCTCAATTCCTTTTACAGAGGAAAAAACAGTACAACTAAGGGAATTCACATGGCATTTTAGGCACTGCATTTAAAGAGCTGAATTCAGCTAATGTCAGTGGGAACAGTGTCAAACCCCCAAATATGTATTATGTTAAATTCACTGTATTTGTTTTTATTACATGTGAGCTGCTGTTGATAATGATTGTAATAATTTTTGTTCACATATTCCATGTGCATTATGGCAAAGCTGAGCTTCAAAGCCATTTTGCAGCAGGATTAATTAGAGTACAAAAAGGTCAAATGTCTTGCTAATTACATACAGCATGCCAATGGCTCAAGCAAGATTAAGACCTAGAAACGTGCAGGTCCTCAGAACTGTGCTGCGTAGACCACACAGCCTGCCGGCATCTTAAAGCTGCAATAATAGCAAGTGAAACAGACTCACTTTATGTTACTCCAATCCACCTTTGGGGTGCTGTTATATAAGGTGTATAGCATTTTAATACACAGACTGCATGTTAAGAAAGGGTTATGGGAACTTCATTCAAGGATAAGAGAAGGTATTTGGACTGGAAGAGGATGTTAGTAGCTGGTAGCAAAACATGCAGTAGTACCTCTCTCTCCCTCCCTCCTCCTTCCCCCATTTCCTTTGATTCTGCAAAGCAGTCAAGTATGTGCTTAAATCTTGTAGACCAAGAGGGACTGAATTGGGATGGGTTTAAGCAAGTGCTTATAATTGGGCATGTTGTTCTTGTCCTTTGCTTACTATGTTTTCCTCCTAGATGCACACAGGCAAAACATAACCTTTCAATTCCATTTTTTTAAATGGAATCAAACTAGTTTTAAACTAAAACTCAGCACTTGCTTGGAAGTTGGACTCCATCATTGCATGCCACAGCCTACAGTATGCAGCCTGAGCTGTAAGGCATCCAGACTAAATTCTGTGCTCCATTACACCCTTGTAGATCCACTGTGATCAGGTTTGCATTTAGGCTGATATGGCTGATCATCAGAGTCTGGGATATGCTCCTGGTCCCACAAAGACTAATGATGCAAATACTGTTGGCCTCTCTGGGTCAAGCTCTCATGCTTGGTTTCTAGTTCCTGCACACGGAGCAGGGATTTGGAACCAGACTGAAGACTGCAGCCTGTGTCCTGATCTGCAGTGACTTACCTCTGTCCTAGGAGAGGCACCAGCCAGCATCAGTCTGTGGGAGTTCATCTTTTACATTTAGGGACAGAGTGAGGCCAGCCAGCTTCTGCATGAATCCCTCCAGAGGCAATGATATCAAGAGGCTTCTTTAACATCCTCTTACCCTGAAAATTGTTCATAGATGCTGAGCAACAAGCCTAGAAACCCAGAACACGAGCAGCTCAGAGAAGTTATTTGGCAGATGGGGAGTCCGGGGTGAGATTCTGGTAAAGAGTTGGCACATGATGCCACACACAGGCTGGTAGTAGAAAGTGGCCATGTGGAGCTGTTACACTGTTCCTCCTGTAGAAAGGGAGCCTTCCTTTAACCACTGCATCCATTTGTTCTATGGGTGCTGGACAGAGTGCCCTTCCTTCTTCTGGGGAGGGCTCCTTTTGCAGCTCTTAGTGTTGTCGTCCTGCCTCAAAGCCAGTGAGGAAAGCAGCAGAAAGCAGAATCTGCAAAAAGAAGGATGCATCAGAATTTGTCTACGAGTCACTGTTCTTGGAGGCCTAGATAACTAAACACACCTGAAGCCCAGCTCCTGGAGCTCATGTTCTAACACAGGGCAGTCTGGCAGGAGAAACTTAAGATGAGTAAATAATCACTGTGCTGGGTTTTACTGCGTTCGGTAACTGGGAGGTCTGCTGAAACCCAGGACTTTGTAGTCTATTTGATGGGGAGAGAGGAAGCAGCAATCTGGAGTACAGTTTTGGCAATTGAGCTAGAAAATGTAGGCCTCAGTGTAGCTAAATTCCTGCTGTGATAGTAAAACACCTGACTGATGTAGATTTTAGGAGACCAAACTGAGGATTTTAAGGCTACTAACTTTATTTAAATGAAACCCAGAGAAATAACACTGGAGGTTATTGACCGCAGATGACAGCCGAGGTGCCCTGTACTAGAGCTGATCAATAGCCGCACTGTTTTGGTGACTGGTAGGAAAATATAAAGCTGGGATTGAGTATTACTGGGGCAGTAATGACAAACAACAAGCTGCTTCCACAGGGTCGCCAGGCCTGCGTGGTTTGTTTTGTACAAGTACAGATCTGTGGTGCTGCAAACATGGGATTAAGGTGACTCTGCAAGCTTGTAAGGCACAGCAAGACCAAGAGCAGATTATCCTTCAGCCTCCTATAAGCAAAGACTGGCTCTTGCAGTCTGCAATGAGTGAAAAATCTGATGCTTTCTGAGGCAGGAAGCTAGCTCAACAGCTTAAGTGCACATCTGATTCCCTAGCTATGCAGGTACATAAGTGCAGATGAGATGGAAAATGCCTGGTTTAAATCTGTCCTGGCAATCTTAGGTGAAGGTCACCATGGTCTTGTTGCATTTCACACTTGCCTTGCAGAGGTGCAAATGATTGCGAGGAAACAATCTACTTCCCTTGCCTGGTCTGACTCTCCTGAGATTTGGTGCTAAAGACAGGGCTGTGGGTTCACAAGACTGAATTCTGAAAGACAGTACTAAGCTGCTTTTGCACCTCCACTATCATACAAAGTAGCACTAAACTCTGTTACTTTCTGGCTCTCTGTCTAGCTGCATGGTGTAATTTTCTTAAAAGTCGCTGGAGTGCAGTGTCTTAAAGACTATCATGATGTATTTCTGGTCTTCAAAAGCCTTTTGATTCCTAGGTGGAAAGCATTGTCATTGCAAGCCCACTCTGTGTTTGAGCTGGAGCTAGGTTAGGATTGCAAGGGAATTCTCCTGTCATGTTCTCTGCCTGGATTTGGGACACTGTATAAGCTGTTGCTTGGTTGTCACCATTGAGTGCTGTTGGGCCCCTGTCTCCACCCTCCCAGCTGGCTGGATACTCAGCTGGGCCTAGGACTGTGCTAGAACATATGGAACAAATTGCATACGTGGCGAGCAGCTGATTTATGAATCATCACTGGCTTCATACTGCCAAGCCAAATGGCATGGTCAAGTATTGAGCCCTAGAGGAGTATACCTGTCTATATTTGAGCTTTCCTACCTCTTTCTCAGTCCCTAGGACACCCCTCCCATTTTCCCCTCTGTCATCCATGGCAATCTGAACAGCTTCCCATTAGGAAGATACCTGTCATGAGAGCCTGGGGAGATTGAAGGTACTGGTTCACATCCACCTTGCTCAGGCTGAACAAAATGGAATTATGAGCAAGACGGTAAAAATTTACTTGGATTGGAAGCAGCAACTCTTTTTTTTTTTTTTTTTTTTTTTTTTTTTTCCCCCCCCCATCTGCCCAGCTCCTTGCAGTGGGTCTGCTGATTTCCAGGGCTTCCCACACTACAGATAATTCATAAATAAATGAATGGTGATTGCAACCACCCCACTCCTCCTTCCTTGGCCTTTATTGGTGGGAGCATTTGACTGTTGCCATGGCAGTGCTCTACGAATGATGTCATGTCCCTACCTCCTGCTGAGATCGCAGCCTGTTGTTGCCATCCTGGCTCTGGATCACACTCTGAATGGTAGAAGCTGTCCCTCGGCAGTGGGTGAAATGAGACAGATGGGTGCATTTGTGACAATATTTCCAGAACTGGTTGTTCTCTCATGGCTTCTTATGCAACTGTAACTTCATTGGCTTCAACAGAGTTGCCAAAGAGGGGTGATGACTGGAGCTCTGGGTTTTTTGGCATGCTTGGGGCTGGGACACCAAAGGAAAGGATTCTTCAGAGGGGGAACTTGTGCCTGGAAGAACATGAGTGATGGTGGCCGTGACATGGTTTGAAAATCAGACTGCAGACTAATGCTTCTGTAGCTCAGGGAATCGTGTTCAAGTGCAAAAGCAGACCAACATCCTTCCTTCAGTAAGAAGAGTGGGCAAGTAGGTTCTGCAGTAATGATGCAGCCCTGGCTGCAACCAGGGGGTTTGGGCACCCATTGCCAAAGCTGTCTTTCCCCATGTGCAAGGACGGGAGATGCCCAGGCACTGGGGAGTACTGCATATCCCAGGGAAGGGGGAAATCTGGGTCCATGGAAGGTGGCTCTGAAGCTGGTGCTTCCATGGGCTTGCTTCTCTTAAGAAGTTAAAAGGGCCCAGGACTCGGTCAGCTTCGGTATGATTTCCTGACTGCAGTGTAGAGAGGACAGCATGCTCTGTGACAGAGGAAGGAGTCTTTTGTCTGGTGGGCAGAGGAGGGGTTGCTGGTCCCAGTCGCTGAGAACAACAGTGTCCTGGTGATGATGGAGGGCCACCTTGGCCATCGTTGTGCCTGGCTTTGGAGTGAGATGGTGGGATGATCTGTCGCTGCTGCATGTGCGCTAATGGCAGTCATTGGGGAAGGCCTGACTAGGCTTGGGGAACTAAAGGCCCAATCCTAGAAGTAGCCATTTGCTCTCTGGTCTGCCCCAGCTTTGTTGGACAGAGGGGATGGCCTTAGCTTTTGTTGGAGGTTGGGGGGGGTCTGTACAGTAGTTTGACCCACCCTATTGGTACACTGTCCCCTGTGCATGAAATGGGGCCAGGATCTCCCCAAGAGCCATGCAATGCAAAATGGCTTCCAGAAATGTAATTTTCATCCTCCTGTTTTGCTGGCTCCCCCTTCCTTAGAGAGACTTCTGTGGTGGTAGTGACACCTAGTGGTAGAGGCAGACCTGACAGGCCAGCTTGGCTCAGGCTCTGCATTCAAAGCAGCAAGAGATGCTAGTCCTGGCTTGCAGAGAGCCTGCTGCCTTTCCTGGTTAATGCTCCATGCCTGTCTCTTCCATTGCAGGAGGCTACGAGAGATTTTATTCCGAGCATCCAGAATTCTGTGTGAAAACAAAATCCCTGAGTAGCATTTCCCCACCAGCCAGCGCTGAGCCTTTGGACCTGGGATGTGGCTCCTGTGCAACACCCCTGCATGATCAGGTAAGCTCCTTAGCACCTAGTGTGCTGAATTCCTGGGGGCATCCATTTGCCCGGCTTCTGGGTTTAAAATCTCCTCCCATGCATTAAGCCAAACCTTCAATGTCCCAACTGTCCAGGTGAGGAGGCATTGTCCAAAAAAGCTGTTTCAAGATATTGTGTCCCTATCAGCTCAGCAAGCTGAAACACTTGCAGGCCATGTGATGTGGTACATGCAGTTCTCTGTCTCGATTTTTAAGTCCCAAGCAGAATTTTTCTTGTAAAATGGCATTTAGGCAGGCATTGCCAATGCTTTGGAAGTGGTTCTGAGTCCAGTATAAATTTCCTGCTCAAAGCAAGAGGCATCCAGACCAGTCATGTCCCCAAAAACACTGGTGGCTGGAGCATTCCCTGGGGTGGGAGAGGACCAGGCACTTGGGATGCTGAAGTTTCCACCTCCCTCATCCTGCTTGAGGGCTGTCATTCTCCCTCCCCAGTGAATATTGGCCCATTTTTTATGAAGTAGGTCAGCTTCCACAGGAGAGATGAGCAGAGACTTGCCCGTGACTACTCAATGAGGCAGGTGGAGAGAGCACACAATTGACATCTGGTCCCTGGTTCAGAGTGGGTTTGTCTTGCTTCCTTCCTTCCCCTGCCTACTTGCAATAGGAAAAATCTTTGAAATCTCCCAAGTTCTTCCCAGTGGGAGATGTTTCTTCCTAGCTCTGGTGTTTGTGTAGATATCAATTCTTCCAATGGCGTAGAAAGGAGCCTGCATAAGCCACAGTAGCATGCTGGCTATAGTCAACTAGCGAGAAAGCTGTCTGCATGGGGGAGTGGTGCTTTCAAAATCAGGCTGTCAGCTGGAGAATAAATAGTGCAATGACTTTTTTCAAAATGGAAAATCAGTACCTGCCATTTGAAAACAAAGCTAGGCTGCACAGAGCCTCGTTGGAACCGTCTTTCCTCCATGTCACATCTGTGGGTCCATGTGCCAGAACTCCGTTTACCTGGTAAAGAGGCTAAATTGTTTGGAGAGCCCACACCTGCTAAGTCATATCCTCATCTTCCTTGGGCATTGGGGTGGATCTGAGGGCCTTGTTCACTTCTGCCTGCTGTGTTTTTGCTGTCTGCTGCCTGTCTTTCAAATGAAAGGAGCCTAAAATGACAAGTCCTGCCTCACCTCATATTCTCTGTCTGTTCATTTGGTCAGGGAAGCTGGTTTCTGTGTGTTTTTTTTTTTTTTTTTTTTTTTTTTTTTTTTTTT